AGAGAGAGAGAGAGAGAGAGAGAGAGAGAGAGAGCTAAGAGTGTAGTGGGAAGTGAACGGCTCACTCGCATACTTACACACACATTGCTGGGCGAGTGTGAGAACTTTTTTCATAATAAGCCTGTTGTGTGTGCGCTCTCATGCCTGTGCGCTCCCTCTCACTCACTCCGCACACACTCTCACGTCTATCTGTAAGCGCTTTACCAACAAAACTATGTGACTATCGGTTCCGAGAGTTCAGTTAGCATCAGGTTGTGATCCGAGACACACCACACCAGTGATTGACTTTACCTCACATATTATAACTATACTTGTATTGCCGTTACATAGCGTTTGTGACCAACGTTTTTATCACAAGTTTTTTGTTGGCAAACTGTTGAGCCTTTAAAAAAGTTTTTTGATTTTTTTTGTCGTTCACTTGAAGTTTGAAGAAATCGATTCATTAGTTACTTATTATTAAATAATTAATTAATAATAACTAAACCGCAAAAATGACAAAACCATATGAAGTGCCGTTTCGTGTGACCGAAAACGATAGCAATTTGAATAAGAATGGAGTGAAACGTATGTCTAAACCAATGATGGAGAAGAGACGTCGGGCCAGAATTAATCAGTGCTTAATGCAACTCAAGGAAATGGTCATCGATTCTGGCAAACAAAATATTCAGGTATTGTTTCGCTCATCCCTTACTTCACTCATTCGTGTATTTTTCCAAACACTCTCTCTTTGCTGTGAAAAACTTATTTTATCACTTATTTTAAACATTAAATAATAATCAAAATTTTTAATTTTTTGCGACAGAACTCAAAATCAAAGCTGGAAAAGGCAGACATTCTTGAGTTGACTGTGAAATATGTGCAACAATTACACCAAAACCGTTTGTCTGCGCCGTCGGCGACGGCCTCCGAGCGGAAGGAGAACTCGGAGGTGAGTCCGGCGCAGATTCTCAACGACTTTGTGGCCGGTTTTGCCGAATGCGCGAAACAAGTGGAGGAATTTGTTTGCCAAACACAACCGCTGGACCCGATTGTGGTCACTTCGCTCAGCTCTCATCTCAACAACTGTATGAACTCATTGGAGACCACAGACATCAGTGTCGGCGGCTTCGGTGTCATTCGCCACACCAACCAATGCTGTCCGCCATCGCCCGCCCCGTCCACCGTCTCCTCCGGTTCCGCGGGATCTGTCGGCGGAGTTCACAATCCTATTCTCGATATGGAGTTGTCGTCCATTAGTAGTGCCGACGAAGACATGCCTTTGAACCTATCGTCTGGCAATCGGTTCCCCGAAGAACACCACTTCATTCATCACCCATTACTGGCCGGCGATGACTGTGTTTGGAGGCCCTGGTAGTGGTGATCATAGACGGGCTGTACTACGGGTGCTCTTATGGATTATACATAATATCTCTTATGATTCCTCATTAATCCAATAGAAAAAATATTGTATATTATTATATAATTGTATATAAAATTTGATGAATTGGTTTCACTTCATGCCTTAATTTTCGCATTTATTTGTGAGAAATAATGTTTTTCTATTCAGATATTTAAAAATTCATTTTTTATATCCAACACTGAAATTGGTTTTTCAAATTTGCTATAAAATTGATAAATGATTTAAACATTAATTACAATAACTTTGAATC